TGACGGTGAAAAAGGAGCTCAGTGGTTAGCACTACCCCCTCGCACAGCGCCAGGGACCCAGGTTCGATCCCACCCTCGGGCGACTCTCTGTCTGTGAGAGGTTTGCAAATTCTCCCCACTGTGTCTGCATGGGCTTCCTCCAGGTTCTCCGGTTTCCTCCCACAGTCCAAAGACGTGCAGGTTAGGGTGGATTGGCCGTGGGAAACTGTCCCGTAGTGCCCAGGGATGTGCGGGTTAGGGTAGATTGGCCGTGGGAAATGCAGGGTTACGGTGGTGGGGGTGGGACGGTGGGTCTGGGAGCAATGCTGTTGGGAGGGTTAGTGTGGATTGGAAGGGCTGAATGGCCTGTTCGCACACTGTAGGGTTTCTGTGATCATTGTTTGTCCTGTTTGTTGTCTTCCAGGTGGCATCACTTCCGATCTCTGTGTGACTACAACAAACGTATTGCTCTGGGTGAGTCTCCATATCGGGGCACCCCCTATCTCTGTCACTCCCTCCAGCCCCCTACACCCCCCCCCCCCCCCACAACACCGGGTAGCTTAGAGGAACAGAGGGGTAATCAGTTACAGCCCCCCGAAGTCAGCAGGGAATAGGGGGGTAGTTGGGAAGCGTACAGGACACTTGCTCCCATCATTAGTGGCATTGAGCAGGGAGGTTAATGTTAGAGTTATACAGAGCATTGGTCAGACCCACAGCTGGGGCACTGTGCACAGTCCTGGTCCCCTCCCTACAGGAAGGATGGGATGGCACTGGAGGAGGAGGTGGGGAACGGGGGATGGTGTGGAGTACAGAGGAAGTTCACTAGGACGTTACTGGAGACCGGGACCTTGGAGCCGGAAGGAGAGACTGGATAAGCTCAGATTGTTTTCTCTAGAGCAGACAGGGCTGAGGGCGAACACAATGGGGAGTGGGTAAGATTATGTTGGGGGGTGGGGGGTTTGGACAGGAGGGCAGATGTTCCCTCCCCCCCCCACCCGGTTTTGAGGGGTCAGTGACGAGAGGGTACCGTTTTAGGGTGAGGAGGGAGGACATTCGGGGTGGGGGGATTTGGGGGAGAAACGTTTCACTGAGCGGGTGGTGGGAATGTGGAGTGCGCTGCCTGGGGAAGGGAGCGGAGGCCGGAAACGTGAGAAACTTTTAAACAAATATTTGGTCGGACATTTGCGATCTTGTAGCGTTCAGGGCCGCGTGCAGGAAATTGGGGAATTAGCGCAGCTTTGGTAGCAGTTAGGTGGGCGAAGGGCCCTTTTCTGTGCTGAGTGCCTCACTGGCTCTCTCCATCTCCCACCAGCCCTGGAAGTGGGTAGTGACCTCCCATCAGACGGTGTGATTGACCGCTGGCTGGGTGAACCCATTAAGGCAGCTGTACTGCCCACCAGCATCTTCCTGACCAACAAGAAGGGCTTCCCCGTCCTCTCCAAGATGCACCAGAACCTCATCTACCAGCTCTTCAAGGTGAGAGCAGCTCCCCCGCTCCCCCCCAACCCCTACAGTGTGGTCGCGGGTTCAAACTGACACACTGAGGGGACTCTCTCATTTGTGAGCTCTCTCTCTCTCTTTTCTCCCCC